GTCCATCCGCGCTGAAAGCAGAAAAAAGAAGGCGACGTCTTTATTTTGCAAAACTTCTCCGCCTGATTCCGGCGGGGCTTTGGAGCTGATGTCTAAAACTTGCACATCTGTGACAGTCCTGAATCACGTACCAGATCATTCTCGTCTGGGTGTCCAAACCATGGAAAAATTACCATTTTGTTTCAAGAGCGTTTGCATAATATCTTTATTTCCCTCCCCTCGTTAGATAACATTTTTATTCCAAAGCTACTGCCACTCTCTCGTCTATATTGATGGCTCCATGGACACCACCTGTGCTTTGACCCAAGCAATTCTCCATTGTAGAACATCCCCTTGACAACAGGAGGTTCCCCAAAACTCCCCCAGGCTCCCACACAGGGAAGGAGGTGACAATTGCTCCGTGGCTTAATAGGTGGGATCTATCAGAGGTTCACTCCGACACGTCAAAGGGCTCGGTGTGATGGGCTCGGGCTCTGTTTCTGTTTTCGGGGAGTGCTGGGAGGAGTGGCAGGAGGTTAGCCTTTTCCCATCACCTCCGTGCCAGAGATATGCTCGGCCCCGCCGCCGCGCACTCTTGGCTGCTCATCACAAGGCCCCCTGTCAAAACGAGGATGGCTGATGAGCTACGAACAAGCTCACAGCTAGATAATAGATGAAAGAGCCTCAAGATAAATTAGGTGCCTCCAGAAAACCTGGCCAAATGTGTTTAAAACAGGAGATCCAACACCATTAATTCTCATCAGGCAGCTTGAAAAAAGGCAACCCGGCACTTGACTTATGCTTAGAAAACGTTATCTTTCCTTTTAACAGGGGTTTTATAGTGTATTCTGAGAAGATGACAAACAATAGGGTTATTTTGAAGTCATGCCAAACACTACATTCGCTGGAGGAGGAGAACAATGTTACCTCCTATCTGTCAACTGACCCCACAGCCATTAAGCCATTTCACCAACAAACAATATTAATAAAAAAGGAGAAGTGCTGTTCTTAAGTTCCTTACAGCTGGAGCTGGAGAAATGTCTCTGAATGAGTTATTTGTCCCTTTGGGAAAGATCACTTTGTCAAAAGTGAACCTTTTCTGCAAGAAAGCATCAGTTTGATCATTTCTCATCTAAGAAACTGAAACAAAATGAAGCATTTCAGTAATTCCCATGCTCTGTGCTGCAGAGGGGAAGGCTTTGGTTTTGTGTCCCAGCAATTTCTAGTTTCACACGACGCCGTATAAAACTGAGACGGAATGGGTAAGTCCTGAGCACTGGTGCAGAGGACAGGGAGCTGGAGCTCATAGTTTCTGGAGCAGGGACCATATTGAGGGTTTTGTTTCTGCTCAGAGCCCCATGCTGATCTCTGACGTGCTACTGTAAGAAGAATAAGCGTACAGCAAATAATAACAAATCTGTAACATCTTTTCACCAGTGGGAGTCTTTCCCAGATTGGCCCCAGCCACAAAAGGAGCCAAAGACTTCAGGGGGACAGATGAGAACAGCTATTTTGATGGCAAAAGGGCCACCTGCTCGCAGAGCATCCAGCCAGCAGGACGGGCAGATGTGTCATTGCCAACAGTGCCGTATCATCCCATTCAGAAGACAGCAACAATTTCATCCGAACATTTTCAAGGAGAAAATTTCCTTGTGCTCTCTCACAATTGGAATAAGCCTGCTCTCATGTGACGCCCTTCTCCGTGCTTATTTGGGCTGCGTGCTCCAAACTGCCAAATTATGTGATCTTCCAAGCAAAGGGGCTGCTTGCATAGGTAGACCCAGAGACCTGTGTGCATGTGGGGTTAGGAGCTAGCAATAGCCACCCCTTCCTTCCAACTCAAATATGAGTAATAACGATGCTATTTCCAGCTTTATTGGCACATGTCAGCCTGGGTGCTCAGATTGCAAACTCAAACACATGCTGAGCATGGGACAAAACCAGCTCCTCCTGGCCCCGATCTGCCCAGCTGTCTTCACCCCACGCCGAGCCCTGCTCTGCTCCCTCAGCTCTGGGCAGGTGCAAGGCTCGGTGCAATCGCAGAGCCTTTGCAACCCGATATGCCACGGGCAGGAGCTGCTTTTATGTGCTGCGTGTTTAGGCAAGCTTATGTCTTGCAACTGACACACACACACACACACACAAACATCCACCGTAAGAAAATGCCTGGATGTTAATTTCCTCTAACTTCCCCTTAATTAAGCACGATTCTGGATAATAATGGAGTGAAGATGGAGAGCGGTCGTTGTTTGGAGGTGCAGATGAGTTAGGTGCAGAGTCCTCTTTGCCAAGAAAAGGCTCTAAGAGGGGCAGGGTGGTCTCAGCCTGTGGGCTGTGGGTGACGCATCATGACCAGGACAACAGCTGCAACAACCCATGGCAGCAAAGATTCACCCGGGAGCCCACATCCCTGTGTTACTTTGAAAATCAACACAGGAGGCACCGCAGCCCTCATATCCCGAGGTGGATGCTTGTTGGTAGCCTGTCCTTGTCCCCATGGGGCCCATTTGAGCCGAGGGCACAGCATCCTTGGATGTCCCAGCTGGGAGATGGGCTGCTGTGCTGCTTCTGAGAGCTGATTAGTTAATTAACAGCCCGTGAGAGTCAGGTGAAATCCTATCTGTCAGAGCGACCATGCCCCTGTTCCTAGGCGTGTACACATGTGGTATCGTTTTTCCATTATTTGGAACATACAGAACTAAATTAATAACAGTTCTTACAAGGCCCTGGGGCTCTCCGTGGAAGAATTTTGATCTCCTTAGGAAAGGCTCACCATTTCTCATAGGAGAGATGCACTTGACTCCTGACCTCTTTTCAAAGGCACCTGTGTGAGCTTTTAAAATCCACTACCACCAATTATCCACTTTCAACCTGAAGTGTTTAAACCTCGGACCACATTAACTGAGCTTAGCACATAGCCATGTCATTGCAGACTTCCTGATGTGAGGAGATGCCTTGACACGGCTGAAAGAGAGTTTAGGGATGAGGCATGAGATTATCAGCTTCTTCTCCTGACAGCTTCAAACAAAGGAGCCTTTTAGCCACCTGGTTTGTGTCTCCCACACCTGCATTAAGATTGGGAGACAAACCTTTGTACTGCTGCCTTGATCCTATTATTTGCATGTACCTGTCCACAGTCACCCTGCATCACTTAATAGCCTTCAGAGAGACCAAAGGGAAGAAGATGCACATCTACTATTTCTCTTTTCAGTTTAATTCCTCTTCTTCTTCTTCTTTTCTTTTTTTCTTTTTTTTTTTCTTTTTTTTTTTTTTCCTTCTCTCCAGGGCAGCAAGACTTTTAGGACACTATGGCATTTATTTAAACTCGGAGATTTATTTGGCAGGGGGATGAGAAGGCAGAAGATAGGGATGAGGGGTGAAAGAGGAGTAGAGGCCATGTTTAAGGATTCTGGCTGGGCTGAGGAGTGCTAAGCCCCATGCCTGCTCCCAACACTGGGCAGATGTTTGTCTGCAGAACTCCTCTACTCCTTGCACAAGTCCAATCCTGAGCTCACATCCCTCCCTTGGTGAGACAATGGGGGCACTCCCCACTGCTGCACCTGCACCCAGACAGTAAGGGGTGCTCATCCTTGAGATGCTTGACCCACATCCCAGTCACCTGCTCCTCTTCCCCACCCCATACTGTGGTGCAACCTCATTCTTTCCCACAGAATGCTACCACTTCCCCATATCTTTGGCTCAAGCACTCCTAGAAGTGAGTTCCCAGGCCAGATTTAGCCTGGATGCAGAGCTAGGGATGTGCCTCCCTCCGCCTGATGGTGAAATTAGCTTTGTCTTCCCCATCCCAGTGCTGGAAGGAATGTCTAGATTTTAAATTAAATTCATATTCTCTTTCCCATGCCTGCAGAATTAGCCAAAAGGACAGAACATTATTAACCTTCTGGATCCAGCTCTAGCTGACAAGGTGTCTATGCAAGGGGAGATTTCAGCTGTAGCTGTACATATATACATTGCTGCCTTCAGCCTCAGCCAGCCCTTTGACTCATCATTGTAACTCAGTAAGGTAGAAATATTAGAGTTGCATTCATATTCCAGGTCTGGTTTAAATCACTAGCATTGTGGAAAGCTCTGGATAGGTCCAAAAAAAAAAAAAAAAAAAAAAAGGAAGGAAAAAAAGAGTTTTCTGGTTCTAGTTTTTCATATTTTCTTTTCCCCTCTGAAAAGTGAAACCCTCCAGCTGCCCGGCATTGCACAATGACCCAAATGCTGTGAGTTCCAGCCCTAATCCCCGCCGCTCTGCACGCCAGCCCGCACAGGGCTCAGCAACACTGTGCTCCCCCAACACTGAAGTGGGAAAGCATTGGGGTCCTGAGGCTGGTGGTGTGTCTCCATCACCAAACCATGCATTTGGGCTGTGAAGGTTGTCCATCAGCTGTAAGAATCATGGGAGAGGGACAAAGAATAGGGTTGACTCCCTTGGCTATCTTTTGGTTTGTGCTCTCACAGGAAGCAAAATGGGTGTAAATCTCCAGATTTCGATCATGTGTTATGCATGCTTTCCATTATGGTCAGAGGATCCCTGCCAGGGATCCACCAGCGTGCCAGGTGGGATGAAACCAAGCCCAAGCATGTTTTCTAGTTCCCAGATGATGGATAAACCCCTCATTCTTCTGCCATCCCCACAGAGGGAACACTGCCATGGGTGCTCTGCTCACCCTTGCTCACCCCAACCATCGTGGCTGTAGCAAGCCAGACAGCTGAATGAAGCTACCTGGATCCACCTCAGTTTCTATTGTTGTTACTATTGCAATCATGATTATCGTTATCACCAAGATGGTGACAAAGCCTAGAATCCCCAGTGTCCACATTGCCAACACCCATTAGAAAGTAAAGTTTCACCCAGGTGCTGGGTTTCCCCAGGAGGAGCTGATGTGAACAAGTGGTCATCAGGCATACTTGATGAATCACCCAAGATATGTCCCTGTAAGGTGACAGATCCTCAGCAAGTAGCACTGTGCCAAGTGCCATCCCCTCGCAAACAACAAAGAACTCAACAGCACTGGAGGGAAAGGATGGACTGTGGTTAAAGATATGTGCTGAGCCTTCCAAGAGGGATGGATTTAGTTCTTCATTTTGGCTTAGATTTCCTATGATTATGACGTCAAAAGAATCACTTCATCTTCTGCCACCTCAGTGCTCCATCTGTTAAAGCATATTTATAGTATTTTTTTTTCCTTCATTTCTTTTGTCCTCTGTCTTTTCCATTCTGATTACAAAGTCTTCAGAGTAAGGTTGTCTCTTGCTTCGTGAGGTCCAGCAGAAAAAGACTCTGACCTGAGTTCTTGCTGCTGGAATACAAATATCTAGAGAGTAATGCAGTGCCCAATGTGTTTATGCTGCTGGTTGGGGAACACGCATTGCTGTCCATGGAAAATTTTGATTTGAATGAAAAAGTTGAGTGGTTTTGTTGAGAAAGGAGAACATTAAGCACAGTTACCATTTTTTTTCCCAGCAAAATCTCTGAAGGAAGTTGACAAAATCCAGAGATTCTTGTGAAATCAAAAAGGAGTCAACAATCAGCGCTACAAACTAAAACAAAAGGCAATGCTGTCTGTCCCACTGGCGGGTTTCCTTCCTCCCCACAACTCGCTGTAAGCCCTTCTCTGACGCCCAGCTTTGGTCAGGGCTCTCGTTCCAAAGGGATTGCTTCTGTGTCGAGAAAAATCTGTTTCCAATAGGCGGTCAAAGGTTTGCTCATCGTACTCGTACTGTTTCTACAGAAGCACTCGTGGTGACATGCTGGCAGAGCTTTCATCTCATTTTACTTCTCCCTGGCACATCGCTTCCCACCAGGCCAGCCAGCAGCTATCTTCTCGCGAAGGGCTAAAGATGTCTGCCTATATTTTTTTCTTCCTGCAATTTCATCAAAAGAAAAATTCAGCATGCAAATCAATGGCTTTGTAGGTGGCAAAATAGTTTGTCAGTCTGCATTAAATTTAGCTACGGGACAGGATTCCACCTTTCTCCAAGCAGGAGAGAATGTTTTTTGAGGAACAAAATGTGTCCATAGGTTTTTTGCCATCACAGACAAGGCTGAGGTCTTACCTGTAAGCCATATTGCCCCCGAGTCAAGGAGCACAACGAGGACTTGTGCTGGATATGTGTCCTGCTGTCAACCCTTAGGAATGAGGGAAGATCCAGAGTGCTCTCTCTGCTCCTTCTTCCTGCCCCATTACCCCCAGCAGGTGCTGCCCACACCATCACCTTGTCCTGACCGTATCTCCTGGAGGTCTGTCCAGAAGGGAAGGCCCCACATGCAAGCATCCAGGAGCTTGTTAATCACCCAGAGTTGTGAAGTTCCTCAAGTGGAACCAGCAGCTGGGTAAGAAGCATCTATTTGTTCCCTGTCTCTATCCTCAGAGAGCATCACCAGAGGAGGTCAGGGTGGATTCCCAGAAATGTGACCCATCTTCTCAGCAATGCAAGCGTAATGCTGAGAGGGCTGCAGGCTTGCTGGCACCTCCAGAGCTTGCTGTCGTGATTTCATGAAGTGCTGCACTCCCCTAGGAAGAGCAATCCAAAGAGGAGGAGCCCTGTAGTGCCTCTGCTGCCCTCAGCCAGCGGGGGATCTCCATTGTGTAATGTTTACATGACCACAGAGCTCACCATGGCTACACAGAACTCAGGAACAACAGCCCTTATGCTCATGGAAAAGCAGCCCTCTGCCCCTTGAGCAAGAAGAACCTGGGTGAGCAGCTGAGTGCTGTCTGTGTTGCAGGAAGAGCCTTCACAGAATCACAGAATCCAAACCACTCCATTGGGCTGGAAGGAACCTCAAAGATACCCTAGTTCCAACCCCCCTGCCACAGGCAGGGTTTCCAACCACTACACAGGCACCAGATCAGGCTGCCCGTGACCCCATCCAACCTGGCCTTGAGCAACTCCAGGGATGGGCATCCACAACTTCACTAGGCAAAAACCTGCACAACTAAAACTCCATCAGAACCCTGCACGTTGCCGTGTTGGTGTTCTCCATCTCAAAGCCTGTCCATTCTCCAAGCCCATCACTCTGTAGTTATCGTGCTCCGGTTCTCTCACCAAGGTAGCACAACAGTGAGCTAGAAATGCCCAAGGATGGGCTCTACCATCCTGCCTACGGTTCTCAATGAACAATCTTTGACAGAGGTCAGACTGACTTCCAGCTGAGAATTCTTATTGAAAAAGAAGATAGAGACAGTCTTTACAAAGTGAGCGCCTAGCATTTGTGATGCAGAGGACTAGAAGAAGCTTGGAGAAGTTTGATACCTTGCAGGGTGGAGAACTAAATAGCAACTTCTTAGGCCTTTTCTTGCACTTCTCTTGCATTTCCTGGGTGCCTGGCAAGCTCCTGATGTCCATCCAGGAGAGGGCAGTGCTGGATTCACACTCCCAAGCCCGAACATTGCCAGCATTCATGCAGACAAATATAGACTGATTTTGTTCCAACAGAGGCTTAACTTGATGGAGAGCAACTTCTGATGGTAAATCCTAGGGTGGGATGTGTTGGCCAATTGGAGATTGTTTTCCTTGGTTTGTTTGCTCTGTTTGTGTTTTTTGTTTTTTGTTTTGTTTATGTTTTTGTTTTTAATGGAGATTTTTTTCCCTAAGTGTTTTGTTTTGGTACCTTCCTGATCTCCAAATCCAAGTGAATAGATGGCCTGGTGAACAACTCCAGCATGTTTGCCAAACCGTGCCTTCTGGGAAAGAACTGGAGTCAGCCACCAAGATAATCTCTGGACAGCTTCACGGGAGCAAATCCTACACATTTCTATTCAGAGGCCCCTTTTTTCATTTTTTTTCTCAACTCAGAAACTAACAGAGCGTTCCTCTGTATCACTACCTTGGGGAAGGACTTATTATCTGGAGAATTTTTGGCCATTTCAGACTTTCAGATCTGAAGGTCCAGTGTCCTTCTCAGTGCTGCAGGCAGCCTTGACCTCCTTGTTCCCTTTGCTTTCCCTTCTCCTTTCTAGCAGAAGACATCCATTTACTCCCACTGTGTGTCTTGGCTTCCACTCATCCTTACTGCAGAGATTAGTACACTGGTGTGGCTGTTCTTTGCAAAGATCTGCAAGACCTGGAGAGCTCTTCCTATTTTCATGAGCTGCAATTCAGTCAAGGTAGTTCTTAATTTTAGCACACAACCCATCCCAATCCCATGGTGGTGGCCATTCCCCTTCCAGGGAAACCCCTACAATGGTTGAGAGAGAAAAGAAGCAGTGCAAAGGATGTGAGGGTATTTTCAATGACTGAAGACCATTAAAGTGCAGCATTTCTCAGGGTAAGGGTCAGAAACAGAGTTCAGGGCGAATGAAGGTTGTCAGCGTGGAACTGCCAGGATGCTGAGAATCACTCAGTGCAGCTGTTGTTGTGACAGGGCTGGTGCAGCTTAAACCAGTTCCTCCAGTGGAATAGGCTCTCTCTAGATGGGACTTCTTGGGAGGACTTTATTCAAAAGCTGCATTTTTTTGTACACTTCAAAGGCCCAAACCAGACTGATAAAAGACTCATTCACCAGCAGTCGCAGCCTCGTACATCCCCGAGTACTGTCTGGTACATGACAGCCTCCCAGATTAGACTCTTTGCCTGGCATCTAGGGCAGGAAAAGAAGGAAAAACACACACAAAAGAGCTGTGGGGACCTTGTACCACCCACATGGAGAACTCCAGACATTCCCAGCACCAGCCCAGCAGCCACCCGTCTATTATGCACTCATTACCAAGTGTAGACACTGGCAGCAGCAATTTTTGGGGTCTACAGTCTGCAAAACTCTCTTTCTTTTCTCCCTCCCCAGCCCTTTCTTTGAAGATAGCCCAATCTCCTGCTGACACGCTTCTTGTGGAGATGCCTCTAGCAAAGAAGTTCCTCAGCACCACCCGTTACAGTGAGGGTATAGCCTCTAAGGATGGATGGTATCCAAATGTTTGGCAGAAATTCCAACTTTCCTTACTTTTAGGCGTATCTGTGGCTTTTTGATACTGTAAACAACTGACACAGGCATGGAAGAATAGTGTATCTGAAATAGTTTATACAAAAGAATTCCATCTGTCAGTCTGTTTACAGTTCACATGTGAAAAGGCAAAAATCTTTAAAAGGAAAACCCCGGGGGGAAAAACATTTATATATATATATATGTATATATACCCCATACAAATATATAGGATACACTACAAATACTTGTTGAAGTGGAACAGTATCACTATGGACGTTCTTTCACTTAAACAGCAGTATTTTTTTCCCCTGGTGTAAATTAAATTTTCCCAGTTTGCTTTTTAACTTATTCAAAACAGCACAAAGAAAGCAAAGAAAGCAGACAGGAATTAAGAGGATCTTGGGGATTTTTTTTTTTCTTTTTTTTTTCTTTTCTCTCTTTTTTTTTTTTTCCAAACACTTTCCAGTTTGAAAGTTGTCCTAATGCTTCTTGAAACTGCGCATTAGATCACGGTATTGCAGTGAAGAAGAAATACAGCCATTACACTCTTGAGAATAACCTTGAAACCTCTCCGCTGTGTTATCTAGAGGGTGATTTTAGAAATTGCTGTGAGAGCTTTAACTTCTGCTTGGACAGCCACCAAGGAAAGACAGAAATGATCCAGATTTCACATCTTTTAACACAGGAAGAAAAAATCTTGTATAATTTTCCACCTCACTCCTCAACACCAAAGGGTAGAGTCCCTGGAGGTAAGCATGGTAGAGACCTCATTTTGTAATGCTTGTGCTGGACTGAAACAAGCCTGAGTAATACACAAGATCATATGTAAGTGTTATGTAGGTCAGTGGCACAAGCAACCATGAATGCTTTTAGCCCTTCTGTTCCTCTCTCCGGACCCAAACCAACCAGTACAATGTGCATGGATAAGTATTAGAACTCTTTGATGCTCAGCAGGGATGAGGAACTTCTTCCTCATTCTGTGCTTCTACTGGTAGAGATGTGTGGAGGATCTAGCACTGGAGAGGCTGGTTCACAATCAGAGGTTGGCCATGGGTTTCTCACACACAGAGCATGAGCTCTCACATTGGTGCTTGCAATGGTTCTCAAAACTACACACTCACAGGACCCCAAGAAACCAGGGTTCTTCTTTTCTCAGTCATCACCAACGGTGGTGACCAGTTGGTAGATGGGATCAGAATCACTCCACAAGCATCACACATCACGCTGGTCCACTAGCAAGTGTCTAAGCTCAGGCTCCCTTCATCCTTCTGGACCTGCTGGTTTGGCTTCTAAAGGCTGCATCACATTTTGGTCCTACTCTTACAGCCAGGGGTTGTGTTTGGCTATTTCTTTTTAGGAGCTTCACAGATGAAGTGAGATGGCTAACATAAATATTTACATGTGGCAACTGTTAGTTTTAATAGCATTGGCTGAAATTTGGGTTTTCAGAAGCCCCCACACCAATGGGAGGAAACGGGGTTGTTTTTCGGCACATACCAGAGCCCAGCCTTGGGAGCAGGAAGAACGCTGCCCACCAGCTTGGCCAAACATGAGCTTCTTGTATTCCTCCACCATGACAGAGCTTGTATTTCTTCGTGCCCTAGCAGAGCTATGAGCACAATAGGGCTGCACCATTGCAGCCCTGGCACAGTAACATCTCACTTCTGTGAAACCTCATGGGGCAAGATTCTGCCCTTGTCTCACATGGAATAGAAATAAGTTTTGAGCAGTAACCTGTTCTTTCTTTCCTGCAGATGTTACAAGCTTTTGGAGACCCTCTTGGTTTTAAATCAAGACAGGAGGTTTAGGTTGGATATGAGGAGGAAGTTTTTCAGCCAGAGGGTGGTGAGGCACTGGAACAGGTTGCCCAAGGAGGCTGTGGATGCCCCATCCCTGCAGGCATTCAAGGCCAGGCTGGATGTGGCTCTGGGCAGCCTGGGCTGCTGGTTGGCGACCTGCACATAGCAGGGGGTTGGAACTGGGTGAGCACTGTGGGCCTTTGCAACCCAGGCCATTCTAGGATTCTATGATTCTCTTTCTGCTCCATGTTCGCACAACGGATAGCAGAGGTAGAGATAGTAGAGATCACTGAGGTACATGGAAGGTCATTGCCTGATGGGTTCATAGAAATATGTTTTGCAGAATTAAGTGACAAGTTGATTTGTAGACATTCAAGTTGGCTGCAATGTTTTTTTCCCATCAGATTTTCCTGAACTGAAAAATCCAAGCATAAAAATGTCACCCATTTGGAATTTCTTGTATTTCAAATTTCTTCATATCTCTTTATCCAAAGCAGAGTACTACCAAAAAGACAACGAAAAAATTAATGAAAGACACTGATTGTTTAAGATTCTGGAAAAAAAAAAAAAAAAGAAACAAGCAGCAACAACAGAACATGAGAAAGCCAGAAACAAATACTTCTATAAAAGCGTTGATAATCTTGTTCCCATTGTTTGCCCTCCTGTGCCCTGTTTCACATCTCACTGAGAGCTATGTTGAAATGATACTTTGGAATCTCCAAGGTCAGGGAGATTTCTTAAAGCAAAAATGCACATCCTGTAAATACCAACATATATATTTTTTTTCTCTTACTATTTTTTTCTCTGATATTTCTGGTTATTGACTTCAGCTTAGTTGAACCTCAGGTCTTTTGTGAGCCAGGCCAGACATCAGATTCTACACCGGTGGAGATGGGGACACACAGGCCCAAATGCACCACTGCCTCTTCAGATGACTTTGGGCCTCAGAGCACGAGGTACAGCATGGGAATAAAAAGCTTGGCCTGCAGGTGAAGGGAGTGATGTATGTGATGGCTGCCTTGACACCAAGGATATTGCTTCACCAGGGG